ACAGCGGCGGCGGCGGGGGCTGCTCGAAGGGCAGGAAGAAGAACGGGCGACACCGGGGCGGCAAAGCCAACAACCCGCCTTACCTGCCGCCGGAGGTGAGCGAGGCAGAGCGCGGGGAGGTTGGGTTCAGAGACCCCCGCCGGGTCTCCCCGTCGCCGCCTTGGTGGTGGCCGGTGAAGCGAAGGCTGCCTTGCCTCTTTCGGGAGGCTCCCTGGCTTTGGGGAGGATGCTGGCCCCTGCTAGTACCTCCAAGTGCGATGTGTCTGTGTGGACTGAGGACTCTTTGGGAAGGGTTAGGTAGCCTTCCGAGGAAGCGACAGAAAAAAACTAGCGATGCTGTGAACCTTGCCAACTTGAGAGCAGTTGGCGTGGGGAGCCCACTACCTTGACAGAAAGATTTTTAATTTTCCTCATGTCCACCTCCTCACCACCATGAGCTGGTATTCTATTTTACTTAATGTCTATTACTTCTGAACGGAAATGTATTCCAAAGAAATGTAGGCAACCGCCTGGCAGATCTCTGATTTGTATTCCTGCATGGAGCAGGGTGTTCCGCTGGATGGCCTACTAGGCCACTTCCAAATTCAAGAGTCTGCCCTTTTCCTTTTTTACCCCCATCTCTGCCTAATAGATGTCAGAGCTCACCAACTCTGAAACCATAGGTTTCTTCAGTGGCAAGAGTGAAAACCGATTCCTTTCTTGTTTACTTCTAGCCGCATTTTTTTTCCTTTCCCCATTGCTGTGGTGCTTCTGAGTCACCGAAATTGCACTGAAATTATTGCATACTTTTGTGGATTGAAATGTAGCCAACCAATCAGATTTGGAAGGAGGAGGAAACTTCTCAGTGGAAACTTCAGTCCCCTAATGTTTCTGATTGAGGTTATTGGCAAGTATATTTAGAATATCTATTCATGGCTCTTTTTAAGATGGCAAATAACTAGTACTACTTGCAAACTTGCTATTATGATGGTTTTAATTCACATGTATATTATGCCTTTCCTTCAGTGAATTCAAGTCAACATACACGAATTTCCTCGTTCACAGTTTATCCGCACAACAACCTTTTGTGGTAATTTGGTTCCAGATAGTTCACATGAAAAGCAAATCCTGCTTCATTATCCTGATTCTCTACAAAATGATTGGGCAGTAGACTTGTATTTGGAAACCATCAGGATAGTAGACACTGAGCTAGATGGGCCAATAACCAGATTCACTGTAAGGCAACCTCATAGATGCGTCAAGGAAACTGTGCTCAATTTGTTTCTCAACTGTCCTGCTTCAAGAAGAGGCTGGGTTTTTTTTATAACTGCAAGTTCTCTATGAAAATAAATAACCTGCACATCAAAAAGGATACCCAGTGTAGTGTTGTGGATAACAACAGAGAAGGACTCAGGAAACCTGGGCTTGAATCTCTGCTCAGCAGTGGAAACTCATAGCAAAAGTGGGGTTGGAATTGACAAAAAAAAAAAAACTTCTTAAATGTCTCACTTACCTTGAAAACAATGAGAGCTGCTGTAAGTTGGTTCCAACTTGGTGGTGTATATAGCACACAAAGAGAGGAAATTAGATGTCATGGAAAAAGTTTTAACCTGCTGTTCTCTCCAAACCTTACTTTTCTGTGCCTGGTATTGGTACAGAAATATTTAGGTATACAAGCCCACCCATCTGAAATTATGCAACCTGTGCACAAATCTAGCACTTTGGTTAGAACTGAACTGTAAAATATGTTGTGTGTTGATGGAAGGTAGAGTTGAGTGTGGCCTGGATTTTGAAGGAGGTGCTATACAATGGAGAATTAATAGGGCAGCTTTTAGAGTTCCAAATCCATCCTGCCATTCTTGGCTCACATATGCATGTATGTAGTTTGGGTTCTCTTCCATAGTGTGATATCCGTGTAGAATGTCAGGGTTACTCTGAGCTTGGACCTTTGTTTTAGAATGGTAAGCCATCACTAAAATAGCAAGGTCATTCTCTTCACTGACTCATAAGATTTGAGTGTTAGTGTTTTCTTGTCCTCAGTTAACCTTTATGGACTATTACTGGGCATGCCTAAACTTGCCTTTTCTGCATCATCTTTGCAGCAACTTTAACGTAAATACTTGTTGCTCCTCAGAAGACATTAATATGGGTGCATAGTTTCAAATTTGGAAGGACGAGGAAACTTCTAAATGGAAAAATCACTGTTTTAAACAATGATTTCTTAATACACAATGAACGTAAATGTTGAGGTGAGGATTATGCTATGTAAATAAACTGTGTCCTGTATAAATAAAGTAAAAACTGATCTTTTACTAAGTGAGCATATAAGGAAAATACCAGTTGAAATGGTTTCTTTCCATGATACAGATGGCGAATTTCAGGGGATTATTTGCTAAATGTTTGCCTTGTCATGAATCCTTTTGTGCCTCTGAATTTGCCTATAGCAAGGCAGACTTGCTGGAGTGGACAGCAATGTTTACTTCCAGAGAAGCAAGATTATTTCAGGAAGAAATTAAACTTGAGCAGATCAGATATCAGGCTGCTGTCAGTTTGTTACATGGCACCTTCCCTAAACTCTGCTTAAGAGCTCTCGGTTCTCATTCAAGGCCAAGTCCTGGAACAAGATAAGTGGAGTGTAATTCAGTGTTGCATATTTGCCTTTCAGACATGAACGCCAGTCTTTCTTCCTGTGTGTTTGATAAGTAGTCTTCAGAGCTAGTTATTCATGTTTAGCCAGGTAGGGATATCTTCTGGAAAGTCTTATCTACATATACATAATTTAGGGAAGCTCAAATGCCGACTATAGTAACCAACCATTATCTTCTTGTATCCCCACTATGTCATGGGGCCATGTATAAATGGTTGCCATACAGTCTTTTGACTGAGGAATTGAACTTCATCCACGAAAGCTCACATTAAAGCAAAGCAGTTCATCTTTTGTCCCTTTTTTAATGGTTTTGTTTTTGTTTTGTTTTGTTTTTTGCCTGGTCTCCTTTTTTTGGATCTGCTATACTAGTGACTTGTTTTGCCACAAGCTGATTACTAGTTCCTTCTTCCTCAGCTGTCAATCACTTTTGTCTTCTCAGGCTATGACTGCTTTGGGAGAAACCACTATGAGTAACATATGCTAGTGAGTTTTGTCATTTGTCAGAACTGTTTGAAATTCCTTAGTAGCAAAATATCAGAGGTGGAAAGAGAAGAGAGAGCTTTAAGACCCTAGCAGCAAATGACAATGTGAATCTTAGGGATCTAAGAGTGGAGTTGTTACTCTCTCAGTCTCTGTTCCTGCTTCTTGGGTTAGGTTGGAGTTTTGTGGCAGTTAATGGAATTTACCAGAACAGTTGAAACTATTGGTCAGCAAACTCTGTTCCAGCCCATTGTAGAAATAAAGTTCGTGAATTCTTATTTCACTTCTAAAAGTAATGTCAAGTGAATAATTCCAATTATACCAACATCCTGATATCAGAGGGTAACTTGGAGACTGAGACATTTTGAAGGATTTTAAGAGATTCATGTATACAAAGGAAGAGCCTGGACTCTGCCTGAATTATTTGCTTCAGATTTACCTCTTCTGGAGATAATGACTTTTGGAGTGGTCTGTGATAAAACCGATCACAACAACTGAAAAAAAAATTGTCAATCCTTGTGGTTTTCACAATAGACTGCTTGTTGCTTTGTTTGCAAAATAAATAGAGGTGGTTTTATGACTGTTCTAAGGCAACCGTATCTGTTAATTTTGTTGCCGGTCATCCTATTTATAAAGGTGAGGTCCTGTATTCTAGTGTTCAGTAACTCTTGAATCATGTTTAATGATTCTGTTTAAAGTCATTGCTATGTGCTTGCTTGAGTCAATTATCAGATAGGATGCCTAAAGTTATATGTGAAATGCTGAGCACCACATAGGCTACAAACTTATTGCATTTTCTTGTTTTACTTAGGCAGAAGATGGGAACATAGAATATAAGGTGAGTTATTTCTGGCAGAAGCAGCTAAGTTTAACTTTTTAAGAGATGCAAATCAAATTATGCTGTGAATCATACTAATGGTAAATTATGTGTGTCAAATTAATTTCAATTTAAGGTGATCCTCCCAGGATTTTCACACTAAAAAGTATTCATAAGGAGTCGCTGCCCCTTTTTCTGGTAGTTTTATAGAACTGTACAGCTTGCCCAAAGCCACATAGGTGACAGGGTGCAGAGCCCCACACAGTATGGGAGATCTCAGCTGGCCCTTCTCTCCAAAGGCACAAAGGAGATTGTCCTTGGCTCAGGAACAAGGCACTCCAACCCACTGAGCTATACTAGCTCAGTGAGTCACATGCAGATTCAGCAATTATTGCATGTTGCTATAGACGGATCAGAAAAAAATATTTTGGAAGAAATAGATCAACCGAAAAAGACCTTTCCTAAACATTTCCACCTTTCTCATACTTCTCTAAAGTATCTAAAGCTGGGGTTTTCATTTCATATCTTGATAATAAATGGCAGTAAACAAAAAACCTTGTTAGGTAATTGTTTTTTTAAAAGATCTTATCACTTACGTTTCCCATTGTAATTCCTTTATTCAGCTGTCTGCTTTACCTAAATTCTAAGCCACTCCAAACAATTTATTTTGAACAAAGCTGTAAAGTCCATTGATTTGTTTGGGCAACTTCTAGTGAGAAATTCTGTTGCCCAGAACAAGTTGTTTAACCCTTTCCAGACCTCTTAGATGCTGATGGAAAATCACTCCTTTCTTTGGGCAGCTGAAACTTGTCAATCCTTCTCAGTATCGCTTTGAGCATCTGGTCACGCAGATGAAGTGGCGACTACAAGAAGGCCGTGGTGAGGCAGTGTACCAGATTGGCGTAGAGGACAACGGCCTGCTGGTAGGATTGTCAGAAGAGGAGATGCGCGCCTCTCTCAAAACACTGCGGCGGATGGCTGAGAAGTATGTGCATCTGCCTTGCTTCTGGGCCAGGGGAAGCCAATTCTGTATGTCGTTATTTCAAGATCGGGTCTGGCGTTCTTACTGCCTTAATCACTTGCATCCTATAACCTAGGGAAGACTCATAAAGTAGCCAAGGAACGAGCCCCCTTGCACAAATGACTTTTTTTCTCATAATACTATAATCTAGCCTTTCAGTGACCTGCTACCCTCCAGATGCGCTGGACCACAACACTGCCGCCGTACAAACTCAGCCTGGCTGATTGCCGTGACCTTGTACTCCAACACATTTGGAGGGTACCAGGTTGCTGGAGACTGGCATTATCTATGAAGGATGCCTACCATTACCTCCCAGTTGTTACAGGAGTCTGTTTTAAATTGTAGGATATTGCCATACATACATAGCAAGGCCCTGCATGTGCTGGAAAGGAAGTCAAATCGGACTGGTTTCTGGTGAATCATTGCTGACAGTCACTGTTCATTTTAATTTAATGGGCTGAAAGAACTGCTGAGCTACTGAGGCTTACTATATTTGTATGACTTTTTCTAATTTGCAGAACAAAAAAACCAGAGGAAATTTCCCAAAGAAAAACAAACATGAGACTGCTAGAATCAGGAGAGAAGCAACAATAAATAGCCCTACCTGATAAATAAGAAAAGTTTATCCATGTGTAGACACATTTTTTTTGTTTTTACTGCATTTATACACTGGTAATTTTTTTCCTTTTAGCACCTAGGTTATTTATTGTGGCTTTTCTGTTTATCACCGGTCCTAGCAGTTTTGGTTTTGTAGTTGTAACTCACACCACTGGTCTCTTAAGGTGAGAGTTTTATCTGACTATTGCTATGCCCAGTTATTTTATACGAGCAGAGCAACCTCTGCATCTGCACAGTACAACATCTAATAGTCCTTCTCTTGTTGCTTAACTCTTAAGGATCTCTGTAAACATGAAATTACTCAAGTGGGAAAATAGGCTAGTATTTCTCCCTGTTTGTAGACTGCCTTGACCAGAAGCCTTTTTGGGAGTTGCTGTGAAATAGTCTTGTTCTTCTACCTGTTTAGGAATCATTGGAGATGGTGCACCAACACCTGACGGTCTTCTGTTTCCCCACTGCAGAGTAGGAGCTGACATCACTGTGCTCCGTGAAAGAGAAGTGGATTATGACAGTGATATACCCAGGAAGATAACAGAAGTTCTAGTCCGAAAGGTTCCAGATAACCAGCAGGTAGCAACCTATTTTTGTTTGATTGCCCTCTATCTTCTGCGGTTTCCTGATTAGGTTGCCTTTTGAAATAAGATGGAATCCAGTCCAAATAAAGGTATTTAATCATGCTATGCTATGCTGTTGTGTATGTCAGAGGAGCCATTCTCAACGTTTCTGCGGCCACGGCCATTTTAGGACTCTTCTCAGGTTCTAGGGCTACCTGTCAAACACAAATACAACATGAAGAGATGAATAGAATAGTAAGAGTAGAACATTTTTCTGTCTGTGGCCCCTCCAAATGTGCCAGGGCCCCCAGAGGGGCATGTGGTCCCTGTTGAGAATGGCTGCTTTAGAGAAGTATCACAGAGGTTACATGATAGCTAGGACAAAGAATGTCTTAAGAAACATTGTAGTTTATCAGGGCCCATTTCTAACCTTGTTTGGTTCCTGTAAAGCAAGGTTGTTGCTTCCCAGTGCCTTGGAAGGATGCAGTCATTGCAGTAATTTAGAATTACGTTGATTTCTATAATAGTTAGTAACCTTTTGGCATATTATTTTGCAAGACAGTAAACTTGAATAACAAGTGTGCACTTCAAAATCTCTTTTCCTGTTGGTTTGCTTGATTTTTAAAAATGGGCTATAGCTCTCCCCTTTTCCTCCAGTTTCTAGATCTGCGGGTGGCTGTGCTTGGAAATGTGGATTCAGGAAAGTCAACCCTACTTGGTGTCTTGACACAAGGAGAGCTAGATAACGGGCGAGGGAGAGCTCGTCTCAATCTCTTCCGGCACCTGCATGAGATCCAGTCTGGGAGAACATCCAGCATCAGTTTTGAAATTCTTGGCTTCAACAGCAAGGGAGAGGTATGGATGTTGGGCTATATATACTATCAGATTAAACATTTTACTTCTTTATGTTTAAATAATGCCTTAGTTGTTTCAAATGTTCAATGGTTATATCTTGTGCCTTCTAGGTGGTAAACTACAGTGACTCACGGACAGCTGAAGAGATCTGTGAGAGCTCTTCCAAGATGATCACTTTTATTGATCTGGCTGGCCATCATAAGTATCTGAAAACCACCATCTTTGGGCTCACAAGTTATTGCCCAGACTTTGCAATGCTGGTAGTGAGTGCCAATACTGGCATTGGTAAGTGCATGTTGAATGGTCTGTGTTCATCCTTCTGTAGGACTTAAGACTGATAACAACCCATGTAATTCAAAGTTAGTATGTAGTAAGTACAGAATCAGTGCCTTCTAGCACAGAAATACCTGCATCAGTTTCAAGCAAATGGCAGGTTGATCCTAGTGCCGTACACCTATGCTGTATTGGTATCCTCACCTTAACTGTTTGGCTTTCCTTGCATCTCTTGCAGCAGGCACAACACGAGAACATCTAGGCTTGGCGATGGCCCTCAAGGTCCCTTTCTTCATTGTCATTAGCAAAGTGGACTTGTGCTCGAAAGCTACTGTGGAGAGGACAGTGAAGCAACTGGAGCGGATCCTGAAGCAGCCTGGCTGCAATAAGCTCCCTTTGCTGGTCACATCGGATGATGATGCTGTTACAGCAGCACAGCAGTTTGCGCAGTCTCCCAAGTAAGAATCAGACATAAATCTTGTCTCTAATATTATTTATTTGTTCTCTCTTTGAAATAGATGCTTTTTATTGTAATATAACTCTTTCTGTCTTACATATCAGCCACTGAATATGTGTTAATAAGTACACAGAACAGAACAAGTGGACAGACTGTCACTGCAGTCTAAGAATGAGTCTAAGAATGAGGAACTGTCCCAGCCAGGAGAATAAAAGCAGCTTCTACCCTGTGAGAGTTTGGGGGGACCCCTCTAGAAATCCAGAAATAGATGGAGATTTGTGGCCTTTGCCATTCATCTTGTGCATGTTTGTTTGCACACATGTCTCACTCAGCATTTAAGGGTCAGATTTTGTATCTCATCTTTAAGTGGAGGATTTCTATGATATTTCATATTTTCTTTGCAGCCTACAGTTGAACCCATGAGCAAGGTCAGACATGTTTATGAGCAATCTGGCCAGATTACTCATAAACATGTTCAAAACCACCTAAAAGCTCAAACATAGGTCACAGCAAAAATGCAACATGTCATAGAAATCCTCCCCCTACTCATCTCATTTCTTTCATGTGTTTTGGCAGCATTACTCCCATCTTCATCTTGTCTAGCGTTTCTGGAGAGAACCTGGATCTCCTGAAGGTCTTCCTTAACATCCTTCCTCCACTGACAAACAGCAAAGAACAGGAGGAGCTCATGCAACAGCTCACCGAGTTTCAGGTACACAATGATCTCTTCATTCTCTTGAACAGTAATCGCTCCATAGAGTTTGAGAGCGAGGAGCATTTCATTCTTTGTACTGAGGATTGGAAAACCGATGTCCCTTTGAGGTCACAGTTGATTTTTATACGAGGAAAGAGGTGTCATTACTTTCCTTGGTATCATCTAACTGATACTCAGAGTATGTTAAGTCGCTGTATGTAGCAAATGCCCTCAGAATGATGGCAGTTCACTGAAGAGTAGGGTTCTCAGAGGCACTGATATTGAGAATCAGTATAAGGAGAAAAATATTCAGAGGTGGGTTTTGAGTTTGTGTAGAAATACTTATACTGAAACTTTTAAGGACAGATTGGTTACACTAACTCTGAACTGCTGCAGCCCCAACTGCATAGCATGCCTAAACCTTCTGTTTTCATCCTGTTACAGGTAGATGAAATCTACACTGTACCGGAGGTGGGCACTGTTGTTGGAGGAACCTTGTCCAGGTGTGTGCTGTTCCATGCATGGGGAAATGGTGGGGGAAGGGCTATAAAGGGCTTTTGGCAGAAGGACTAGTGTGAACATTAACATCCCCTTCCTTGTTGTAGGCTAGGGAATACAGGACAGGTGAAAGTTTACGGTTGGATATCTTGCCTAATGAGTCAAGATCATAAAATTTTGCTTCAACAGAAGTAACTGAAACAGAAGCAACAATATGCCTGTAAGGGTTCTTGTGCTCACCTCTGGGCAGAGTGAATAGACATTTAGTCCATTTCCCTTTAATCCTTTCCATATGTCAAGTGTGAAGAAGCTACTTTGGGTTTCTGTGCTTTCAGTAAGCAAAGAAGGAAGCCTTTCCCTGTCTCTTGAGAACTAAATGTGGTCTCCTGATTTTGTGCCCTTGCCAGTGGGATATGTAAAGAGGGAGAGAACCTGGTGGTTGGCCCGACCGATGATGGCAAGTTCCTTCAACTGAAAGTGTGCAGCATCCAGCGCAATCGTTCGGCGTGCCGTGTGCTTCGGGCTGGACAGGCTGCCACACTGGCTCTTGGACACTTTGATCGCTCACTACTGCGCAAAGTGAGTCCACCTCCTATCTCTGGGAGCAGTGGCTTTAAATGCAATTTCCCCTTCATTCTTCTGGGAACAATGTGTGATGCTGAGGATTTGGCAGAAGGCTGCAGACTCTGGCTTCTCTGAAATTCTTGGTGGGGAAGATGTGCTGAAATCATATAGGCAAATGATCAGGAAGATGTGGCCCCTAAAATGTTGTTGGACAGCAATTCTCTTCATCCATATTGGCCATGCTGGCTAGAGCTGGTGAGAGTTAAGAGTCTGACATCATTTAAGGCACCACATTCCCCAATTTTTATCAGGCAACAAACTCCTTCCAGTTATTGGTAGGCATATTGAGAGATGGGAAGAGTGGATCCCTATACAGTATTTGGGCATGGTTATTTTGAGTTTCAAAATCACTTGACAAATGAATAGAATAGACTGAGAGGGACACCCGCATCCTCTTCAGGTTTATCTTTGTCATATATACCTCCTTTCTTATTTACTGCTCCTCTCTGACTTTCTGAGGAGATGAAAGCTTCCTGTAAGTGGGAAAACTGTAGATATTTCAGGAATGGTAGCTGTCTGTTACAAGCATACATGAGAATGTGATGAGTGCTATTTTGGAGAGAATTGATCCAACCATCTTGCTTTAACATAGGGCATGGTGATGGTCAGCCCAGAGATGAATCCCACCATCTGCTCAATATTTGAAGCGGAAATTGTTCTGCTCTTCCACGCCACAACTTTCCGGAAAGGATTCCAAGTAACAGTCCATGTTGGGAATGTGCGGCAAACAGCAGTTGTGGAGAAGATCCATGGGAAGGTAGGATTCTAGCTGAGGCATTTTCCTGCCTTTTCAAGAGTTTCCTTGAGTCCCTTCTATTCATCCTCCCATCTAAGATGTTTTCAGAAGGGATTCTTCATAATTGGGCTTTCTGAGTGGTGGCTGTGTTAGTCTATGCAAGCAAATCAAACAAGAAACAAAACAAAGCAAATTTTAAAAAAAGAAGACAAAAGCATTATGGCACCTTGAAGACTAACTGCTGTATTTTAATATGAGCTTTTGTGGATCAAGTGTTTTGTGAATCACATTTAATGTGATCGTTTTGTGGTCTGAGGAACTGGACTTGATCCACAAAAGCTGACATTTATATATAGCAGTTAGTCTTGAAGGTGCTACAACATTTCTTTTTCTTTTCTTTTTTTTGTTTGCTTGCTTTTTTCTTTTGTTTCTTGTCTGATTTTCATAATTAAGCTTGCTTGGAAAGTTTCAGAAATACCGAAGAGTCTGGTGGGACTACAGGTTTCTCTTCCTTGGTTTTTTTTATAATCTTTAAGCTGAGTAATTGGCTTACTGATCTTGTAACTATACTGTTGTCTTTGTTGTTAGGATAAACTGCGAACAGGAGAAAAGGCTGTGGTTTGTTTCAGATTCATTAAACATCCTGAATATTTGAAGATAGGAGCCAAACTACTGTTCCGTGAAGGAGTCACCAAAGGCATTGGACATGTCACTTACATCCAAGCAATTAACATTGGAGAGAATGGCTTGGAGCAGGGCTTGGATTCTGAGTTGGTCAGTTTCTGACTCTTGCCACACCTGTGAAATTTCCTCCTGGTAGCAATAGAGGAAGGGAAGGATCTTTTCCTGCTATGCAGAGTTGCTGCTGGCCTCTCCAGAGTATGTGGGCACATGGCCTCTTCTACACAGAAGCCAGAATCACCTCTCAGATTGAGTGCCCTTCCTGGAGCAAGATAAGCATGTTGTTTGTACATCACCTGCTGCTTCCATATCCTTGCCTTTCCTGGAATAGACAAGAAAGTGACTGCATTTTGGCCTGGGCTTGCAACTTCTGGTTTTGTTGACTTCTGTTGGAGACTTGTTTCCAGGTAAACGGCACTGCTCTTAAGTGTGTTGGACTGCAGTTTGGGAATCCTGCCACCTAGGAGGCAGCTGTAGTGGACCCTTATCTCTCCACAGGGCTCAGTCCTTTCGGTGGCCTGCTGCCTATGGCAGATGAAGAGCCATGTCTAGAGACTGCAGCTGAAAGTTTTGCGATTCCTACAGCACAACTCAGGATGTTTCTTTAAATTATTGTTTTCGTTTTAACCTAATGGCTTTCCCCCACCTCCCCTGTGCCCATCTCTTCGTGTGCTGACTGATCTGCTACTGCCACAGTCTTATTTTTAAAAAGGGGGAGTGGTGGGAAAGTGGAAGAAAGATATTTATGCCAATCTTTATCTGACGGCAGCTACAGTCCCCGTCACATGACTATAATGCTCTTCTACTCCAAAGTGTTCTTTGACAGCCATTTCTCCCACCGAAGAGCTGACCAGGCCCTATATGTGAAGTGGTTTTCCTCAGACACTTCTTGTTCTTTTTGCTGGCTGTTTCCCGACCTGAGCTCATTAGCAACTTTGAACTGTCTGTCTTTGCTGATGGATATGTTGGCATCCTAGACCAATCTGTTTCTCAGGAAACATGCCTTCATGGTCATAGAATTAAGGGCTGTTTGACCATCACAGAGAAGATATCAAATGTTAAACTTATTAACTGCAGTAATTTGCCTATATTACTGATGCCCACTACAGAAAACCATCCTGATACCTAAGATTCAGTCTAAGTCTGCTGAGTTAGCAGTGGAATAGGGCACTTCATAAGCAATGAAGAATGTTTTGTTTTCAGGTTCCTTTCAATTTTAGAAATTGGCAACGCTATTCTTTTACTTGACTTAAACTGGGCAACTACAAGGAATTAGGTGGCTTGTTCTTTTCTGACCTTGTAGGGTTGCATCCCATTCCCTTTGAAACCCCAGAAGGGTTCCCTCCCCCGCCCCCAAATAGTAAATTGTATGCTAGAAGCTTTTGGGGAGTTATGACTTGCCAGTCAAACATAAAGGCATGCCTTCTAATTAAAGACCTTTGCAGCTTTGGAGGAAAAAAGAAAAGGGGGGTGAGAAAAAGCCACTTGACCCAGGGAGGATCCAAATAGCTGAACCAGCATTGCCTGTAAAAAGGCTGAGCTGTTACCTCCTGAAACCCTCCCTTTCCTGCTGTTTCATCACTGTCCTACAGTTGCTGGTTTATTGAAAGTAACTGCTCTTGCAATTTAATGTATTACCATTAGAATCGTTTTACTCCCCAAATTTCTAGCATTATTATGCTTTTTAAGCAAAACCCGTGATCATTTACCTTCTTGGTAATAATCCTTTCAATGCCAAGGGTGATCAGGCACTTATAAAGCAGTTCTAAACTTGATCTCATTATCCTGGTTATTTGCTAGTAAAATGGTTTCCCTCCCGTTTTCCTTTTAAATGTTTGGGTTGGTGGTTCTGTGTTTGGATCACCCCTTTAAAGAAAAGAGAGAAAAGGAGTCTTTTATTGGTTTCTGACAGGGCTTGTTGTAGTACATTGCCATTTAAAGTTTGTCCAATGTAGAGAAAAATGCTTTGTCTGCATTTTAGTGATGGTGAAGTTGACCATTGCAAACACAAACATACAAGGTGCTCTTTCCTCCTGTACTTCCTGACATTTGCCTCCGTCCCTTGTCTTCTGTTGTGAGAGTGTTTTATGTGCCATGCTTATTAACCGTTTGTGAATTCTTTGAGGTGTTTTCCTCTCTCTATATATAATGTACAAATAAAAATGTTTTATTGAAAAAACAAAGCTGTTTTCTATAGTCTGGAAAACACATTCTGCTGTAGCCTTTCAAAATATTCCATTGCTTTATGAAGAAGGAATGCATGTTCATTATTGTTTACAAGCTGATAATGTATGCTTATCTAGCTTTACCCAGTGTCCTGAAAAGCCTATCAGACTGACTGCAGCACTCTGTGGTACAGAGATAGTTGCTTGAAGAGATCATGTGCCTCTTGTAATAGCATGGTATTAAAATCCTTGTCTCACAAAGCTACTGGAAAAAAAAGCAAAATTATATTTTCAGTAAACTTCTTACCTCAACAGATGGCTATAAATGCTGAGACTGTTTGCTAGTTATGTCTCATTTCCTTATTCTAATAAGACTGACTGTGCAAAAGCATCAGCCTTTAGTTGGCAATCTGTTTGTTGTATTTTGGAGACTGCTGCGCAACATCAGCTAAATCAGTACCTGCTATTGCTGTCACAATACACTGGGACAATACTGCCAAATAGACTGCAGTTTCTAGGAGGGAGGACCAGGACCAGTATTTTCTACATTTACAGGTCATAGATATTTTACTTCAAAATACTGGCACGAATGGATTATGTTCCAGAAAAATTCAGGCCTCAGAGGTAAGGAAAAATGCAAAACTGTCAACCTTTTAAAAAAGAACAGTATTCTTTTTTTGCTCTCTCGAGATGTTTGTTCAATTTATAGGATGGAAAGCTAAAGGTCTTCATTATTTTTAATTACTCAAACTCCAAAATCAATGGAGAAAATAAAGAACTGCTAAAAGGGATGAAACATCCTTGGTTCCAAACAGCTCAGGTGACCCATCCCTGCCAATTATGCAAAGACAGAATAGGAAAAAAAAATTTCCTTGAAGCTTTGATAAAATCAGCATTGAAGCAGAAGGTGAGTCTAGCATCCCAACAATTAAAGACAAAATTAAGCTTTGAAATGTTGAGAATACAAACCAAACCACGGTAGCAGGAAAAATTGTGGCCCTTAAGCTTTCATAGACTCCAACCCCAATCAGCTTCATCATTGCAATTAATGGACAGAGATCATTGAAACTGTAGTTGAAAAATTAGAGGACCAAGCTTCTCTATTCCTGCTCTAGAGCTACAATTCATATGGTATACCAGTTTAGTGACCAGTAATACTAATATTCTTTTCATTTTGTTTTAAGCTTGATTGTGCAATTTAGTTCTAGGAACCACATAGGTACAACACTTCAGATTTGTCACTGTCCCTCCACTTCAATGGAAGCCAAGATAGCAGATTGAGTGTGAATATTGCTTCATTTTCAAAAAGCAGTTATAGCTATATTGGACACAACACAAAAATCAAAATCCATATTATTTATTTATTTATTGGACTTATATACCGCCCCATAGCGCTACAAGCACTCTCCGGGCAGTTTACAATTTTTAATTATACAGGCTACACATTGCCCCCCCAGCAAGCTGGTTACTCATTTTACCGACCTCGGAAGGATGGAAGGCTGAGTCAACCTTGAGCTGGCTACCTGGGATTTGAACCCCAGGTCGTGAGCACAGTTTTAGCTTGCAGTACAGCGTTTTAACCACTGCGCCACGAGGCTCTTGCAGGTCATAGATATGGTAATAACTTTATTAAGTCAACCCCCAAAGGCAAGATCATAAACCCTCTTTGTCAGACACAATGTCATAATAAAGTGGGAGAGTAATGCTAAAGCTGCACAGTCTTGAGTGCCGTTGTATTTTCTGACTTATAGCAACCCTATGAATCAGTGATCTCCAAAAGGTCCTATCATTAACAACCCTGCTCAGATCTTGAATACTCAAAGCCATCACTTCCTTTATTGAGTCAACAAGAGCTTTATGTTGTATTGGTGAGGAAGGGTCTCCAGACTATTAAAGTGGGCTTATCAGGTTTCACTCTCAATGACTTAAGTATCAGGCAAAGCAAAGGACAATAAACTAATTCTACATGGTTACCTTGAGAACCCAAACTCTATTCATTACAAAGCCTGTAGGTCTCTTGCAAGTGGAGAGCAGTCTTACAGGCAGCCTTTATGTTGGCAAGGTAAGAGATTTAGATACTGGTGGTAAATACTTTTCTTTTTCAAAGTGCAAAAGCAGCCTAGATCCTGAAACTTGCTGGGTCTGAACAGAGTTCTTATTGCTCAAGCTAGCTATGTGACAGAAGATATATTTGCAAAATTCCAGCATAAAGGCTAATGATGAGACAGCAACGTAGATTGCCGATGCAACACCAATTCTATCATAAATGTGGCCATTTATTATTGTTGTTGTTTTAACTTATATACCACCTAGCTAGAGCACTCTCTGGATGGTTTACAGTATAATTATGCAAGGAACACTTTGCCCTCTCAGCAAGCTGGGTACTCAACCTTGAGACGGTTTCCTGAACCCGTCAGAACTGAACTCAGCTCACAAGCAGAGAAGTGCTGGTAGTACTGCAGTTTAAGCACTGCACCATGGAAAATTGTGTTGATCTACTGCAGCAAAAACAATAATGTTCTGTGACACCTTAAGAGCTAGACGGTTTTACACTCATTATCATGCTGCTTACATCTTTCACATTTACATTCCCCTTAATTCTCCCACTTGACCTTAGCACATGTACAAATATCTGCCAACCAAGGAAACACTCCACATATAGGATGAAGTAGGCTGCAGTCCACCAAAGCTTATGCCAGATAAAATGTGTTAGTCTTCAAGACACCAGAAGAATCTGTTGTATCATATCCTTTTAGTATTTTTAAGTGCAGCTATAAGATGCATTATATAAAACAGTGTTCCGTGTCCAGTCGCACTGGCCACGTGACCACGGAAACTATCTTCGGACAAACGCTGACTCTACGGCTTGGAAACGGGGGATGAGCACTGCACCCTAGAGTCGGACATGACTGGACTAAATGTCAAGGGGAACCTTTACTTTTTATTAGATCAGCATTGCATGAGCAGCTGACTGAAGTGCCTTATTCAACAACCCCATCAGTTCTGCTGAGAATCATTTATTAGAAGTATTTTATTAGGCAGTTATTCTTTGTGTAAAAAAATCTCCAGCTGCTTGCAGAAGACTCAGTCTAAGGAGGCAAGCACTTAAAAAAGGAATCCAAAGTCCTGGTGGAGTCTTGCCTTGGCCGTTTAGCACCAGCGGCTGTGTGAGACCTGGATTTGCTTTTGCCCTTAGTTGGAGGGCTACCAACAGGTACAGGTGTCCTGCAGGAACTGGATCCTGAGAAGGAATTCTGCAGCTCAACAGCAAAGTGGTAATCTAAATGTTCTGTGAATTCCCACACCAGCACTTGTTGGTTGCATTTCTCACACAATATCCGGTCATCTACATAGGGAGGAGCCAAACTATCAGCTTCCCCCTGCAGAGGTTCAGAAGCCAATTGCACTCTCTCTTCTTTTGATGCATCAGGGAGCTCTGAAGGAGCTTCAAGTGTTTCTGTTTCCGGAGATGCCATACAACCACAGCCATTGGTGTCAGCGGTTTTCTGCGGTCCTGCTTCAGAGCTCAGTACAGATTGTTCTACAGTGGGCTCCTCCAGCATGGAATCTGGTTTGCTACTAGTGACATAAGGCTCCACAGGGTCTTCTGGAATCTGACTGCTGATGCAGCTGACTCCATTATCATGACAGATGTGAGGCTCTGTAGCTGACTGTACTATCTTTTCACTGGCAATATTAGGAAGAGAAGACCCAGACAGTGCCTGAGCCTGTTTCCTTTCTGCTGCCCTTTGAAACAGCCCCTGAATAGTATTCACCGTTCTCTTGCTGGTCTCCTTTTTGGGGCTTCCAAGGGACTTGGCATTTGGGCTTCCTGCACTGGTGCTGGTGGATGGGGTATGCTGGCTATCACTAGTCAGGAAGGAAGTAATGTCCATAGAGGAGAGTGTATTAACCTCTAAAAACTTGGCTGCAGACAGCTGGAGAAGTTTGATTGGTGGGGACCTGCAGACAGAGGCAAATTAGGAAAAGTTTTCAAAACAAGCCCTGAAATCTCAAAACCAGCTAAATAGACGTTTTTCAACAATTCATAGGAACGGAAGAAGCTGTCCCATTTACTAGCCTGGCATCTGATCTTCCCCTGAGAGCCTCTTTCAAAGTAGGGGAGCATGTTCTTAGATAAACATTTCAGCAGACCACCCCCTCAGTTACAACCTAGTTGGTTCCTTAATGATGGTTATAAAGAGATTTGTTAAAAGTCGAACTCTAATATTTTCATCACGGTCAACACTAAAACGGGGTTGCTTTCTGGAGAAATTTCAGTGCCCTATAAATTAAATGTCTGCTAGCATCACACGTCTCTCCCACACCGCCACTCTTTTGCTTGCTTGCTGGGCACATTCTTCTAATCTCTATCTTCTCACTTCTCCCTTAAATCTCCTCTGCATAGTTTGCTTACCCCTCCAATTCCTGCTGTCTCATCCATTCTCCTTCCCAGCTTTGCATTCTTGCTGTCACACTTGGTCAGGGAAATGTGCCACTCACAGTGATTGTAAAAGTATGTTTTGGATACTGGCGGAGGGGGGGGGGAATTATCAAAAACTGGAATAGCTGCAAAAGCAGCAAACTCTAAAGCTGTTACAAGTCCAGAGTCTAGTAGTTCAAAATTCAATATGATGTGTCCACAAATACAGTTTACATTTGTTAATACTAGACAGCTGGACCGTAGTCCAAGCTGATAGCCCAGCCTTTCCAAATTTAATGCCTTCAAGATGTGTTGGGCTAAAACACACTCATCTCAGCCAGCACAGCCAATGGCCATTGTCACTGAAGATTGGGGGGGG